CAATCAAATCTTTGGTTAAAAAAAAAAGGAAACTAAAGCAAACAAGTTATGACTACTAAAACTAGATAAATTTTTTAAACATTTAAATCTTTAGTAAATTGAACAAAAACAAATAATTTATGGCTTTTAAACACCATACATTTTTTAACAATTAAATCTTGAGTTTTAAAAGGAACTAAAAACAAATAACCTTATTTTTACTTCGATTCTTATTTTGACTAACCTTATTTTAAATTCGTTAAGATTTCAATTCTTACAAGCCTTCCCATTGTACCTTTCAACAGTTGATTCAATTTTTGCTAGAACTCGATTCTTCCAAGCCTTCCTGCTAAACCTGCTACTGTTGATTCAGTTTTTGCTAGACTTCTATTCTTTCAAGCCTTCCTGCTAAACCTTCTAATGTTGATTCAGTTTTTGCTAGACTTCGATTCTTACACGCCTTCCTATTACACCTTTCAACAGTTGATTCAGTTTTTGCTAGACTTCGATTCTTTCAAACCTTCCTACTAAACCTTCTACTGTTGATTCAGTTTTTGGTAGACATCGATTCTTACACGCCTTCCTATTACACCTTTCAACAGTTGATTCAGTTTTTGCTAGAAATCGATTCTTCCAAGCCTTCCTGCTAAACCTTCTATTGTTGATTCAGTTTTTGCTAGACTTCGATTCTTACACGCCTTCCTATTACACCTTTCAACAGTTGATTCAGTTTTTGCTAGAAATCGATTCTTCCAAGCCTTCCTGCTAAACCTTCTATTGTTGATTCAGTTTTTGCTAGACTTCGATTCTTACACGCCTTCCTATTACACCTTTCAGCAGTTGATTCAGTTTTTGCTAGACTTCGATTCTTTCAAACCTTCCTGCTAAACCTTCTACTGTTGATTCAGTTTTTGCTAGACTTCAATTCTTACATGCCTTCCTGTTACACCTTTCAACAGTTGATTCAGTTCTTACTAGACCTTGATTCTTCCAAGCCATCCTGCTAAACCTTCGACTGTTAATCAGACTTCGATTCTTCCTATTAGACTGTTTTCCTTCTTCTGAGTTATGCTACAAAATCGTTAATATCCATCTACCCCGTTTTGGTTTGTATGTCATTTGCAACCCGATTAACAATATTAAGTTTTATACTTTAAAGATCTCATTAGTTTCGGAAATATTGGGGGCATTTGTCACATATCTTGCCAATGCAACCATGGCTACATTGGGCGAACAAAACACGTTGTAAAATATAGATCCGAAAAGATAATAATTTAGATCCGTCGTTAAACAACCGACCTGATTTTGGGTTTACGACTGATGTTCAACTCTGTAGCCTTGAACTTTTGAACCCGATCCAGAAGACGAGGAAACACCTGGATCAAGAATTGGGAGATTTTCGTCTTCGTGGAGGATTTTTTGACGGAACTAACCCGCATTTGCGTTACACGGAGAGGAAAACTGTGAAACATCCCCACGGTTAACCGGACGGCAAGGGGACTCGAACCCATGATCCGTCTACCACTGAGGATACCTTATGTCAGCACTGTGGTCGGTGCAAGCCGGATGCGGAATTCGTATAGACCAGCCATCGCTCGGATTCGAACCGGTTCACCTTATTGGAAGGAGAACGCTCTATCCTTTAAACCATCACGGTTCAGGTAAAGACGATAGATACGTCCAGAATTTTTGCATTCTTCCACATTCAATGTTCAATCTTCTAATTTTTAGGTTCCGTTTAAATAAATAATTTTTTTTGTTTAGCTTTTCTCGACACTTCACATTACTTTCATTTTTTTTAAAATCTCTTTTCCTTCCCTAAGTTGCTTGGGGCAGTTACTCACAAACTCTACTCCCATAAAAATCTTCATTGAATTAAAAGTTTGTCGTCTCAAAAGTGTAAAGGAGGACATTAGGACCTTCTTATTCTCTCAAAAACATCTGGGCAAGAAAAAATATACGATATGCCCTTTAAATGAGTTAATTTTCTGACGCTTACGAAAAAAAGCTAAATATTATTCCCCCTTTTTTCAGTAGTCAATTTTGAAGTTTTTTTTAAAATTTTTAAATATTCAATGTTATACTCAATGTGAATAATTTAGCGTGTAAAATGTGTACAATTTAATTATATTCAACGTATATACGTGTTATATTCAATGTGCATAATTTAGTGATTTAATTTCTTACAAGAAGTTTAAAAACATATATTTAGCGCGGTTATTACGAAACACCCTGCATGTATTATCCTGGGCTCCACCCAGTCGATAAAGATACATGAAATAAAGTTACTTAATGTATAATACCGTTATTTAACGGTTATAATATGGTTATTTAACGTTAAATCAAGTTTTTAAGATAAAAATTAGTGGAAAGAATAGTCAAAATAAAGAATTCGCATTGCTATTAGATATGTTTTTTCATAACCGTCATTGAATAACCGTGCCAATTTTTGGGTTTACGACTACTAATGTTCAACTCCGCAGCCTCGTAATTTTGAACCCAATCCAGAAAACGAGGGAACTCCTGGATCAAGTATTTTGAGAAATTTTGCCTTCGTGGAGAACTTCTTGATGGAACTAACCCGCATTTGCGTTACATGGAGAGGAAGATCACGAGGACCTCCCACGGTTAACTGACGGCAAGGCGACTGTAACCCATGATTCGTCTACCACTGAGAATATTTCACGTCAGCACTGGGGTCGGTGCTAGCCGGATGCGGAATTCATATCGACCAGCCATCGCCGGGATCGAACCTCAGTTCACCTCAATGAAGGGCGAACGCTCTATCCCCTGAGCCATCGCGTCTCGCTATAAGATATTTGGAACAAATCCTAACAAAGGACTTCAAAACTTCAAAGGATTTCATTCTAAAAATCATAAAGATAGGAAATGAAACTTTATATCAACTTCAATCATGATTAAATTTCGCATAACTTCGAGTAAGTTAAAGTAAAAAAAAAATAAATAAATTGCTAATTACAAAATAAAATAGAGCAGTTAATTTTTATGTTGTCAAATTTTATTACAAATTCAAGGGGAATACATCTAGTATTTTTTGAAGCGCAAATTATTCAAATGAATTATTACAAGCATTAAACGTTAACCTTTTGATGCAGAATTTTTAAGCATATTTTTCATTCTTCTTTCATTATTTAGTATTAATTTAGGTCAAAATAAGTGAAAAAAATTACATATTTACCATTTTAGGGCTAGGAAATGCAGCATGAGACACTGGTATCTTTCTCTGTGTTAAAGGCAAAGTTTTTCATACACGACTTACTTCCAAACAACGATTTTTTAAACTTGCTTTTATTTAAATCGAATCGAAACAGTTAATCACCATTAAAATTTCTTTAATTTACACAATCAATTACTGATTAAATTTTGAATAAGAATGAAAAACTAATTTTTCAAAAAAAATTTTTTTTTGGATTTCATATTTTAGTTTAAATATAACTCCGGTAATCTAATAGATGTTTTTTTAGTAACTATTAGACTGTTTTCTTATAATTAAAAAATTCTGCTAATATATTTTTGCTTGCAATTAGTGTGTCAGAAAAAAAATACATAAAAAGGGCACAGGTAACCCATATGCGTCAAAGGGTTACATAATAACACGTAGTTACCTAATGCAAGCTACGTTACGTTAGCTACGTAATTATGTTAACGTGATAAAGCTATAAAAGGAATATGTTACAGTGAATGACCAAAATCAAGAGATCGTCTACTTTCACCGGTGAATGTCAACAATCATCCACCGTGAATGACTGAAATCAAGAGAATTTCGACTTTCACCGGTGAATGTCAACAATCATCCACCGTGATTGACCGAAATCAAGAGAATTTCGACTTTCACCGGTGAATGTCAACAATTATCCACCGTGAATGACCGAAATCAAGAGATCGTCTACTTTCACCGGTGAATGTCAACAATCATCCACCGTGAATGACCGAAATCAAGAGAATTTCGACTTTCACCGGTGAATGTCAACAATCATCCACCGTGAATGACAGAAATCAAGAGAATGTCGACTTTTGCCGGTGAATGTCAACAATCACATAGTCGCTTTGGTGAATGTCCGAAATATTTGTTACATCCGATTTGATATTAATTTATTCGCTGATACTATTATATTTATTCGATATTTTAATATCTGTTCAGGATAGATTAGGAGAAACATTAATTTCGGAGTACACATTAAATGCATACCGGGCAGTGGCACTGAACCTTAAAAAACATCAGTGTAGGGTATACCGGGCATTGGCACTTAACTAGACCTAGTATATATTTAAGTCCCGTTTTAACTATCCAAGTTTTTGGACGAAAATGGATTAAAATTGATGGAAACTTCTTTTGCTTTTAGTTTGGATCATGTAAACGTACATCCAAGTGCTTGGTTGAAGTCCTTGGACTGTAGTAGAGCATGTTCTACTTTCCATCCAAGTTTTTCCTCACTTAACCAATCAGCTTCTTCAGTTTTGTGACGTCAACAAGCAGACATCAGATTATGTCCTTCTGTTGTCTTTTTTCATATATTTTAATCCAAATAAAGTATTCCGTTAGGGTCCATTTGTGTTATTATGATTTTATTTGAATTTATTTAGTAGTTTCAAATTCATGTAAGTAGGATTTTATGATGTTGAATAAGAACAGTGCGCATGCGCAAGGTTTTCGTCCGATCCATCAGTGAGATTCAAGAACTTGGATAGTGTCGACGAATCATCCACTTTCTTGGAGGGAGAAGTTTCTCCTATTTCTCGGGTTCAAGAACTTAAAACCGAGTAAACAGGACTAAGTGATTGTCAACATTCACCGGTAGAAGTCAACAATCACCAATTTTGATCATTCACAGTAACAAATATACTTTTCTCGCTTATGGTAGCATTTTCTTTCAGTTTCAACCAACTAAAAAAACTATATTAAATCTTATTACTGTTTAAATTTTTTTTATCACTTACTTTTTCCTGGCACGCTTTATGTATTTTTGGTTAAAGAGTATAATTTGAGAGAGATTACTTACTTACAACCGGCATTAAGATAGCTGGGTCTTGTATTTTGGCTTTACTGAGCATGGGAAGTACTTCATCTAAAATATCTGTTTTTTCTAGTTTATCTATTATTTTTTCAATGCACGTCAGAGCATTAGCTTGAACCTTAAATGAAAAGAAAAGATAAAATACGTTAAAAAGGCTAATTGAATAAAATACACACAAATCAATTATACCTAATTTAAATTTTCCTATTGTTTAAAATTAACTTTAAAGTGTCTTTAGTAGGATTATATGTTTATTTAAAAGAAACAAGTAATTTAATTTTTTTTTAAAAATTCAATTCCTATTTAGGTCAACAAGAATAAATTTTTATTTCGGTTACTTTTCGATAAATAATTAAAATTTTTTCTCCCATATAGAACTAAAATTAATCTATATTATATAAAACGCTAATACGTACGTATGTATCAATAAAACCGATGATATTTCTTTTCTCGCGCTGGCAACAGTTTTCATTTTTAATTGATTGGATTCGGCGCGCAAGAGCACGTAGTGAGCAACCAGATAACAATAACCAGAGTGAGCATTATCAGGTTGTTCAATTCAGATTCATGCACTAAAAA